ATACTGGCCATTATAACAGACCAAAGTTGTTTCTGTACCCTGTACTTTATAAAATGATGTCAGAATATAAGCCTTGGTCCTATTTCTACAACTGCACCAAAATCAACCCTCTGGCTGCATCCACACTTCACTGAACTGGATGACAGAGGCTTATTTACTAAAATGTCTGCATAGGGGTGTCCAAAATATATTTTTGAAATTTTTTTTTGCTGATACTGAAAGTCTTCTGTTACTCTGTAGTAGCCATTTCTTTTAACAGTGTCTAACATTATATTACATTATGATACCACAGTGTTATGAGCCTTTCTAGGCTGTCATCTAACACAATCTTTAGGCATAAGCTTACCTTTAAACCTTTTCCTTGAATGATTTCAGTTCATACTTTGAGGTGCCTTACTTTCATTCCTTATTGGAGGGGGGACACAGTCAACAATACTGAAAACACTGAGCTGAAAACTCCCATGTAATCACTACATTATGATGGCTCAGCCTGCCACTGACACTAGTTCCCATTAAAATGATAGCATTTACTATGTATTACTCTAAGCAATATACTGAACATTTCACATCCATTTGCAACTAATAAATACATTGAAGTGCCCCAAATCCCATCCTGCCATTGCAACTGGCAGATGTTTTTTCACAGTGGCATTCATAAGAGTGGCATTCATTCATTGTTAGCTAAGTAGCAAACCTGGAGTTAGAGTACATGTTAATTCAGAGTAGCAATAAAGGAGCTGGACAAGACAAACAGGAGTCCAGCAAATGGGAACTTCACCCCGACAAGATGGCAAATATATTTTAATAATGGTGTGACACCAACATTTGAAAGGCTGTGTTCTCCTCCCAGCACAATATTCTAAACAGCTTTAAACATCCCTTATTTATATTAAAACCCATTTTATTTACATTAAAATACATTGTCTTATCTGCTTGGGTCTCTTATATCATCCCAAATAAACTTTGCCATCCCTACACAAACTTCTGCTGCTTATCCAAATACAGTTCTTGTCTCCCCAGCTGCACAATCCTAGCCTTCTGTTCAATAATGGCACCAGCCATTTATTTGGGCATGTTCTTATTTTATTGAGGTCATTCCAGACTTTTTCTCTGCTCTCTACAGTTACATTAACAGCTTCCTTCCTATTTTTAAATCAGTAGCTAATTTCAGCAACTAAGTGCCTATTGTTTCTTCAGGGTCACTCATAAAACAAACACCATTATTGATCTTTCTGAATCTACCACTAGTTTTCCCTTTTATCTCATCTGAGTGACTATTCAAGGGGCAACTTCTCAATAAACCAGGACATTTATCCTGGATAAACTAGGGTATCTGAAGGAAGAGGTTTTTCTGTCTATGTGTGCTAATACAGCTCCTATCACAGCAGCATCAAAGAAACTCATAAACCCTTAGGGATTTTGTCTCCACAACACCTTTTTAAGGGGACAAGAGTTGTTAACTGTCTTTTACAAACAAGGAAGTAAGATACAGGGAGATTTAGTGCTTCAAAGGCAAAGGCCACTCATCAAATGTACAACAAATTAAACTCTAATTTTCTACATTTTAGCCACAATGGTATCTTCCCTCTATTTTTGCATGCTCTCTGGATACACAATTGCTTACTTGTTGGATTGATGATCTGGCCAGTTTATATTTATTCTGCATTTTTGATGAGCATCTGAAGACAACAGACATCACAGACAAACATAAAAACCACATTAACCAAACAGTATTTCCTTTACCATTATTATTGAACTTCAATACAATTCTAAACTGATTTGTTGTCTTTCAGTGAAGCTAAAGGAAATTTTGGCTTTGCACAAGAAAATGTGATACCAAAAAGCAAAGCAGCCCTTCCAGGTAATAAGACCTAAGGACCTCTTTCAGCCATCAGGTATCTGGCCATTACTCTTTTGGCCAAGTGTGGCAAATCCAGTCCTTCTCAAATGAATTCTAGACCAATCTACAAAGAAATGTTAAATGCAGTTTGACTGCTAGAGCACTCCATCAGTTATAAGACACAATTTTCCAATGGTTCCCTGGCATTTCATCACTATTTTGCCACTTTTTGCATCTTTTTTTTTCTCTCTTTACTCATAGGGATGGTTTGTCAGGCTTGTTTTTACTGATCACTGGATCAACAGAGCTCCAAAGAGAGGGTTGGGAATTGAGGCAGGGATTGAGAGGGCTGCCTGTGCTGGGTTTGTCTGCAGTGCTGAGCCCACAGGCACCATCCCTGGGAGAGACAGGAGTCACTGAGCTGGGGCAGGTCTGCATTCTGCTGCTGGAGCCTCTGGGATCTGAGGAACCTCCTCTGCACAACACCACCCATGTGCACAGAAATACATGGCTGACTCTGAGCCAGGCCAGTTATGTCTGTGTTTCATTAAAGGGCAGGCAGATCACTTCTGTCCTGCTCCAACACTTCACAGGTTTATTAAACACAGTTTAAGAAGTTTGTCCCTAGACAGGAGATTCATGCCAAAGGTCTCACTGGTGCCAAACACCACTTGGTAGGGGCAATAACACTGCCATTTAAATGTATTGTTACTCATATTACTGAAGCTACTATATTAGCATGAAATATAGAAGTTTTTATGAGAATACAAAGATCAAACATGCTAATTGCATAATGAATAGAGAAGTAGCTAGGAACCACTCAAGGATCTGGAAGCAAGTGAATCCCCTGGATAAAAGGAATTCAGTTAATCAGAAGTTGCATTCTCAACTCAAATATTTATTTGCTTCCTATTTGTATGCCATAAGGTTTTCTGAGAAGCAAAATAAAGACGAATGTTCTCACTAGGTTTTGCCTTCATGGAAGAAAGTGTGCATCAGGCAAAACTTGGCAACCAAGATGACGAAAAGTCCTAGCAAAGATGGCATGAACTGTAATTTTAATAAGGTTCAGGCAGACATCAGCCTGTGTACCATGAAGTTGTATGTTATGGCATCACAAGCCACAGGAGCACATTCTGTGCACACTCTGCTGAACTAACACCCAGCACTACTGCTCCCCTCTCCTGACAGCTCTCCTCCTACCTGGTAGGAGACTCTGGGCTCTCTGCAGGTTCTGCCTCTACTTGCTAAGTCATTTTATAACTAGAGACTGCTTTGTCTTCACTTGAACTTTACATCCTGTTACTCTGCACAAAGGAAGTGAGTTATGTGAACAGCACACCTATTTTTTCCTAGTCAAGATCTACTTTGTTGGATAATATTGCCATTCAGGTGCCTATTCAGTAAGCCAGTCAAAAGCTATGACCAGCTGCATAGCATATAATGATTTTTTGAAAGGAAAGAAAATGCCATTAAAACAAAAGGCCCTGTTCTGCTTCTGAGTAAACAAATGGGAGTTTTACAAAGACTCAAAAAGGAAAGGGATTAACATGCTTCAACGTGGTAATGGTCTCAACTGTTCACATTAAAATTTTCACAGTAAATTAAACCATGACAGAGGTAGGAAAGAAGTCAATTTTCAGTGGCTCATGCTGTTCTGCTGACATAAATTGCCATTTTTTAGGTAGTATATCCACCAACCTGTATAATGATAGAATTACAAAACCACAACCCGTTGTTGATTATGTTCGGCCTTTTGCATGCTAATTTTAGCCTGCTCTGCCAAAATAATTGCATGCACCACCTCATTACCAGGCTTCTGGATATTTAGAACCCTGTCGCTATTCTTTTTTTACCGACCTTTGCTTAAGCCTGCTGTGTTGGCCTTCCCTCCTTGTACAGTGTCTGCTGTTCAACACCACTTCTGCTTCCCACTTCTGCCCAGGACACCTTCCCAGCACTCACACCCATCCTTTTCCAGGGCTGTCTTGCCAAGGCTAATGCTAAATGTCAGTCCATCTCTACCCCGCTCATCCATGTTTCCCTGCAGGTTGCACACAACTCTTCACTATCTTCATGCTCTTTACACTCCATAAAGAACAGCAACTTTCCTTGACTAGGAAATGGCATGAAGCACTCCCCAGTCATCCCAGCAAGGCCGGGGAAGACAAGTAAACACAGACTCACTGGTTGATGCCTGCCAAGAGTTCCCACAACACGTGTTACTTAGTGAGTTTACACAACAGTGACCAAAGAGGAGGGAAAGGCCAGGCCATGTAAGTGTGCCAGCACCAGACCCCCCACGGAAAGCTCTGCCCTGTGTTACTGTAGCAGCACGAGAAATGGATGTTCAAGTACAATCAGCGCTTATCTGACCGTCAAATGACCACGGTGCCTTGCATCTCAGTTGCATCACGGCAGTGTAAAACAAAAAATGACAAAGGCCTATGAAAGAAAGTCAACCCAGTAAAGGGTAAGATGCGACGGGAGGTGCGGGAGACCCCAAAAGCCTGGGTGCAGAGGGCTGGCACCAGGGCTGGGGGCTGCTACAGAGCCAGACCCGATTCGCCTGCCCCAGGCTCCCCGGGACACGCACAGCCTGGCCCCGGGCCTCGCCCCCTGCAGAGCTGTCCCTGCCCCGGGCCGTGTCCCTTCCCGCAGCTGCCCGGGCCCGGCCCGCAGCGCTGTCCCGGCCGGTGCTGGGCCCCGGGGCCGCGGGGCGGCGGCCGCCCTGCCCTGCCCGGGCCGCGGGGGGCGGCGGGGGCCCCTCTGTGTCCCGGGGGAGCCGCGGGCCGGGGCGAGGGAGGGCGCATAATAAACAGCATCGTTTTCATGCAGGCAGGGCTGCCGGCTCCCCAAGCCTCCTCCCCGCGATAACAACCCAGGTACAGCCCGCGCTCGCCCCCCTCCCTCCCCCTTCCTCCTCCTCCTCCTCCTCCACCTCCTCCTCCTCCTCCTCCCGGGGGGCCGGGGAGAAATCTACAGATCAAAGAAAAGATGCACAATAATAGCGGGGTGGGCTCGCACCGCGGCCCCCCGTCCGGCGGGGCCGGAGCCGGGGCCTCCGGCGGCTCCTGGCCGCGGCCCGGCCGCTGCCCGCCCGGCCGCGGGGCGATGGGGGCGGCGGCGCGGGGCCGGGCGCCCCCGCCGCGGTACTCACCCGGGCCGGCCAGTGCGGGTACCCCTTCATTTTGGCGAACACCAGGTCTCCAGCCTTGTATTCTCGGGGCCGCGGACGAGCCATCGGGAGCCGCCGCGGGAGCCGCCGTGTGTCCCCCCGCCCTCCCGCTCGCCGCCCCGGGGGCAGCCGGGCGAGCCCCCGCGGGGTGCGATGCGCCCGGGCACGGGGCGCAGCCGGGAGCGGGGCCGGGCCCGCGGGCGATCCCCGATCTCTCCGGCGGCGGCGGCGGCGGCGGCAGGAGGAGATGGGGTGTGTGTGTGTGTGTGAGTGTGAGTGTGAGTGTGTGTGTGTGCGTGTGTCTGTGTGTGTGTGTGTGAGTGTGTACGCGGGGGAGGGGGAGGCCTTGGACACAACCCCAGCAGCCCCCGGTACCAGGGAGCGGGCTGGCCGGGCGGGGGCGGCCGGGGAGCCCTCGCCCCGCGGCGGCGGCGGGCGCGGCGCTGCCCGCGGCCCCCCCGTGCGCGCTGGGCTACGCCGCCCGCGCCGCCCGCTCCATCCCCGCCGCAGCCGCCGCGGCCCCGGGAATATGGAGCCGTCTCCGACGAATTACTCCTCGGGCAGCGACCGAAAACAGGATCTTCTTATCCCCCCCCACCCCGCCCGCGCCTCCCCCCGCGCTTTCCCTTCCTGTTATTTTCTAGGTACACAGATCGGTTTCTATGAAAATAGGAGAGCAGAGAGCGCTCCAGTCCCGCCCGGCCCTCCCTTCCCCGCTGAAGCATGACATGGTTCTTTATGCGCGCCCGACATGGAGGCAGGGCGGCGAGGAGAAGCCGGCCGGGGCTGGCGGCAGCGCTCCCGCTTCCCCCGGCCAAAGGCGCCCGGCCCTTGGGCCTGGCAGTGCCCTGGCCCCGCTGTCACGGAGGCCCAGGCCCAGCACGGATCAGCCCCTCCGGGTACCTGCACACCCATCCTGAGCCCTCCCCATGCCAGGCAGCCTAAGCACATCCTAGGCAACGGCCTGGCTCCTCAGCACAAGGTTGTCCCAATTTCTGTACTCAGCCTCTCCTCCACCTGCCTTCTCGGCTTGAAACTAAAACCCACATCCACCAAGCCATGGACCTTGGAGCTGCACAATGGTGACGTCCCCTCACAGGGTGTTTTGGATCTCTGCTTGCCAGGTGATGCTGGTTTTTCCCCGTGGAAGGGAAGCCCTGGTAACTCACAAATCCCAGATATTGCTGCTTTTACCATAATGTTATCAGTTCAGCTGTAATGTTCAGACATCAATTATTATTGACATTTATTATACTCAAGTACCTTATCTACTAACACTAGATAGGCACCTGCCAGGTGGGTCATGAGCAGCAAAGTTTAGGAAAGGTTTTCTGCAGGTCTGGCTGAAACTGTAGCAATAGGTTCCCCAACCACTCCCACATTTAAGATGGCAACTGTCCTCTTTGGGTTTAGGGAGACAGCTCTGGCTGGTACTTCCCCACTCCCAAGGAAAGCACCTGGCCACAGGCAGTTCCTGCTGATGAAGAAGGAAATAGATGGCTGAAGACTGTAGGGTCACATTTTGGGGAGGGAGTAGATGGACCACAGAGAGCACTTCCAGTCTGCAATGGCTGGTAATGCTTCTTCTCGCACCTGTTCCTGGGCTGGCACAGGACCGAGAAAGCTTGTTTTTTATGGTAGCCCCAGATGTGGCTCTGGAGCCCAAATGCTGCTGCTGCTAGTTTGTAAGTCAAGAAAGTTTTCACTCTGGGTCATAAAAAAGGATAAGCACTTCACTGCTGGTGGAAGCACTGCTGTAAAATCATTAGCTCAGGTATCAGTAGCAGACTAATAATGGAAAAACAATTCCAGAAAGCTGGATAAACATTTAGATAATTATCCGGCACTGTGCTCAGTGCTGATACCTGTTCTGAAGCACTGATCAGTGACAGGGTTGCCAATGCAGCCACCTGCAGTATATACATCTGGCCAAACAGCTCACTTTCACTTTCACATCAAATAGGATTTTGTATCCTCTTAAATTGATACCTAATTCCCTTCAGAAGAATGTAATATAAAATCTCTGACTATAGGAGCTGGGACTCTGATCTGACTCTCTCCAGAATAATCCTATGCGCTGCCTTACACACACAGGATTACCTCCCCAAACCAGCCTTCTCTCCAGAATACTTGCTAGAGAGGTGGAGCTGCCTTTTTTTTGCTTTGTTTTAATGCATTGTTTGCTTTTCATCTCAGATATGAATAGCTCTTTCTAGTAACTTATTTAGTGACCTTAAATCAGAAAGGAGCAGGATGTTTGCCAGTTGGTTGCAAAACAAAACTCTACGCTTCATGTACACACCCAAACAACAATTCATTGCTAATATCAAAATAGCAACATTTGAAGTGACTAGATACAGAACTGAAACATCTCATGGCAATGTGCACTTTTGTATTTCCTTTTGTCCCAACACTGGTGTCTGCAGAGAATGCAGTGAAGGGTTTCCAGTCTGCAGGGAAGATAATCATATACTAGAGCTCCAAAGAAAACTCATCCGGTGGACATGCAAGGATGCAGCTCTCTTTTCCTTATGAATAGACTGCAAAGGATAAATGAGTTGCTAAGGTAAGAACTCTGTTCAGGTTTGGCCAGCTGAAAACTCTTAAAATACTCTGCAGATAGTTCCTCCATCAAGCTACGGTTAAGATGCTCGGAAAAGGTGGAGAAGAAAAAAAGCAAATTTCATTGCTGACAAATGAAAAACCAAATCAAATATTCCACACATTAAGAGGAAAGTAAAGTACACTGGCACAATACACAAAGGAGTTTGGTAGTGTGCATAACTCCCTCAGCCACTCCTCACAGCATACAAAGCCTGAGATCTCCTGCTAGCTCACCTGTACTCTGTTCCTTTCTCTTCCCTTACAAAGGGAAGTTCATCTACTCCTTCCACACAGAAGTGGAAAAGAGGAGTCATGAGAGTTTCTTCCTAACACTTCAAGAGCAGTTCCAGATCATAACAGGGAGTGGAGGGGTGCAGAGGTTTGCTGACAGATGCACTGCATAGACCTGGGCCAGGTCCTAAGTCTACAGAAGCCAAGAGCTGGGTCTGCTTTGGGCACAAAGATCAGCAGGTCACAGAGGCAGCAGCAGCCGTGTCCTTACAGAGCAAGGGAGACCTGAGCAGGGATGGGTCTCTCCTTCTCCCTAAACTGCCCAGCATGACCTACCAAGTTCTCTCTCACTTCCCCCGTGCCAGCCAGGTGCTCTACTCCCAGAGCAGAGCAGTGTACACGAGTGTGAGCAGGGGAGATGCTGATGACAGAGGCCCAGCAGGACAAGGGAGGTGGCAGGGCCAGCAGCGTGGTCAGCAGTGAAACCCTGAGTCACCCAGGACAGATGGAGTCTGAGATAACTGCTCTGAAGTCATCACCACACTACTGAATTTTGCTTTCCCCATAATTCCCAGAAAACAGTGTTCTTCAGCTATTGAGAAGCTTTCAGCTAGTTCTGATAATTTTTCCCCAATTCACATGAGGAAAAGAATAACTACACACTCCTGGTTGAAAACTTTCATAGTAAAAGGATTTCATTGATTTGAAAGTGTAGATCAATCTTTAAGAAGAGAGCATGTGGACAAAAAAGACCTAATTTCAAAAAAGCCTTGCAAAGTCCTGAATAAATTTTTAAACATACCTAAGTTATGCATTAAATACTCCATGGCCATGGTTTTGCACACACCTGTTTGCATGCAGACAGTCTAGAATGTGAATCCTGTTCATGCTGGTTTCTTGCACTTGCCATTTTTTGAGAAGCTGCCTATATTGTGTCTGTTGAAGCCACGTGGATTATTACATTTGCCTCTTACATTCTGTCCCTGGCCACCTTACAATTTTTGCTTTCCCTACTGAAATCTCTTCTGAGATCAGACTGAAAGTGCTCTGCAGCGTGGCTACCTGTACAATCAATTTTACTGTTAGATAATGAAATAAAACTGTTTATTTTTACTTAGCTACCTATGGTTGATATACTTTTCGTTCCTTCTGCATTTCCTTTTCCTGTATGTAAAAATGTGCCAGTAATGATTACCATGATTAGTATTTTGCCTATGACCACAGTAAAGTAGTGCTTCTCTGTTAAATATTTTAATAGGAAATTATTCTGAGTCACAACTGAGCCATTCCCCTGTGCAAGACATGTCTGAGAGCTCTGTCTGAAATCACAGAGCTACTTCATGTGAGGCAGAAAGAGGCCATGATGGCTTATGTCCATCCCAACATGCATGAAAGGCACTTACCATGCCCATTAGGATATTCTTAATTACTGGAGATAAGAAGCTCACCAGGGGATCTCAAGCTTTCTCTTTAATAAGCTTAGAAGGGAGAAGGGCATGTATCATAGCTGGAGCAAGTTATGTATACCCAGTTTCATGAATCTTCTTATGTTACACACTCCTAATCATATTAAATTAGACAATCTTTAAGGTGATTGCTTTACATGTTGCAGAGGTGTGAACACATATCCTAGAGGCAGAAGAGATAGAAGTACTTCAGTTAAAATTAACTTTCTCTCTGACTGGGAGCTTTCCACTTGAAGATGGAAAGGTTTGTATGGGATGGAAATGTTATTAGCAAGAATGCATTGCTGCCATTCCTTGTTCTGTACAGGCATTTCAGCTAAAGCTACAGCAGGCAAAAGATGCTTACAGTCAGTGCTGCTTAACATGTTCCAACTCAAACCTCTGTTTCTAGTTTCTAGAATATCTTTCATAATTTAACTATTAGAACTGAAATTTTCAATGAACCTAAACTCTTCTGACAATGACAGTAAAAGAAATAATAGTAAAATTATCAAATTTCCAGGTACCATATAAACATAGCTGAGTTTTAAGTGTCTGAAAAGCATTTGTACATACTCAACAAGGATTAATAAACAAGCCTCATGTTCTGTCTGGACTAAACACGCTCTAGGCTAAAGTGAATGTGATTCAGCTCATGCTGGAGATGACTGTGGAAGCAAAGCTCATGAGAGGAAAAAATGGCTCCCCTTGAGAGAACTGGGGAAAGCTGGAAGGGAAGCAGGAACTAAAGCCTGGAAAGGATGTGAGAAAAGCAGAAAGGGATTAAGAAAGAGAGGTAAAAGCAGATGTGTATAAGAACACAAAGATTTCAGTGTATCTTAGTATA